CCCACTGGGGGGGGCTATTTATAGCCCCCCCTCCCGTTTTTCTGCAATAACTTCCAAACCGCTTGGAGTATCAACGCCAAACTTTCAGTACCTTCGGCTGCATCATTTGACACCTTGTGTCAAAATTTGAACTTCGTACCTACCATAGGTCGGCCGGAAATGACGTCAGAGTGACGTCATGTTCGGCCGATTTCGAGGCAAAACATTGAACCACGGCAATCGCTCCCAAGAGCTCAGTTTTTTAGCTAGATCCAATTTCTTTGCATGGGAGGACTCAGAATAGACTGAGCTATCAAACTGCTATCTCGGATTTTCGAAATTTTGAAAATTTGGAAATTTTATATAATAAAATTCAAAATTTATATTTTTACATTTTTTTTCAAAATATTTATGACTTTTCGAAAAACCGGAATATATGTGATAGAACGCATTATTATGACTAACTCTAGCACGTTTTAGCTAAATATCTTCAAAAATGGCCAAGTTATACGCATTATTGCAAAAAATTAACAATTATTAATTTTTCAAATCAATTTGCAGCACGAATTTGACATCGTACGCCAATATAAATAGCACCATCGTGTTCCTGAGCTCAAACTGCATTCAACAGACACCTTTTTTGTTGAAAAATTTTAACTTAGAAATTTGACCTTTTTTGACCTGAAAGTGACCTGACCTAAGCTAAATTTGACTCAAAATGACCTCGAATGACACAGACGACATCAAATTCGAAATTTTTGGCCCAAATGAACCTTAAAACATGTGTCACGTGACCGACGGATGATATAATATTTTCGTGACCTGTGATGACCTGACCTTGACCTGAAAATCAAAGTACAAGTTTGGTACCCTCAGAGTATCTAGAGCATCTGTTCACGAAAGTGTGAACCGAAAATGAGCCTGATCTGACTTGTAAGACGGCGGCCAGAGCCCAAAACGTGAAGAAGCCAAAATGCTAATAATTTTTACTTTGACCTGACCTGTGACGTCATCGGTGACCTCGAGGTTAATGAAATTAGGTTTCGCTCGACAGTTTTTCCGGGGCTATCATACGCCGTTTGAATTTTGACGATCGGCCCAGTAGTTTCGGAGTTAGGAGGGGGGCTATGAATAGCCCCCCCCCCCCCCAGTAGGGCGTGTTATACGCAGACCCCAGTGGGGCGCGGGTAACCCGCGCCCCGCTGGGCTATTCAGCCATACGCGCCCTGGTGCGGGGGGGGGGGCAGATTCTGCCCCCCAATGCAGATACAGATACAGATATTTATTCACAAAAGGTCCACTCAAAAGTGTGGCTTTTCACTTCCGCACGTCACAAAATAAGACATGAGTAGACATTCACACGCAGCTATGTAAACAGGGTTAAAAGGTTACTTAAAATGAACCTGTCTGACTTCCGTCTGACAATGTCTAACTTCCGAACCGTTGATCGTAGAAAGACGCGGAAAACGGCAATCGAAAGCTCTCAACAAGGCGGATCTTAAGAACCCATTTTTTGCTTAAGTAGGTCAGAGGTCAGGTCAAGGTCAGGTAAAGGGTACAAAATGCAAGTTTCTACAGTATCGGCCTTGCATCGTAGTTGCCGAAGAATGGACTGAGACTGATTGCCCAAAACGTGTTCTTAGGTTACCAAGACAATATTCGTTGCATACAATGTCATGCAAAGGTCAAATTCAAGGTCAGGTCAGGTCACCAAAAACGAAATATAGAAAAGGGCATGTGCGACACATGTTTTATGGGTCATTTTATTCATAGAATTCAATAGGCACACTCAATAAGTTATATGGACCACATTTGGATGAATTTCAGGTCGAGGTCAGGTCAAGGTCAGGTCAAGTGAGGTCAAATTTTTAAGTTGGTTGTTAAGGCCTAATAAGCTGTCTATCTGATGCAGTTTTTCACGGCGAATCGAATGATGCTATTTTTGTTTCCGTACGAGACCTACAGGTAACTTCAAAAAAAAAATCATTTTTCAAAAATTTTGTGTGTCGCAACGTCATAACATTTTGAATAACTCCCACATTTTTGAACCGATTCTTCTAAAGATTGGTATGTAGGTGCACATAGACCACTTCTCTGCGGACATGACGTCACTGAAACGTCATTTTCTCAAAAATCTTCCGACGGATTTCGCTCAAATTTTCAGGAAACGTCTTCAATTGATGTATAATAAGGTACTGAAAGTTTAACGTCGCTGACGTAACGCGTTTAGAAGTTATTGGCGAAAAAGGGAGGGGGCAGATTCTTCCCCCCACCCGAGCGGGGCGCGGGTTAAGGTCAGGTCACAAGAAATCATTAAAGGTCAAATTTTATCTATTTCAACAATATCCGAAACACCCGACGGCTAGCTCGGGATCCAATAGAGCTACAGTGCTGCGGAAAAGCACATTCGATAGCCCTTTTACAGACCTTTCTGGATATTGTTCTCAGATTCGACCTCAGTCAACGGTTTAGCCTCCAGAGGGCAAAAACTCTAAAAATAGCCCTTTTCACGAAATATGTTTGTCGGTGATAAGTTTTAACTCAAGATAGCCACGATATTAATTTTGCGAGGATCGTGCTCCTCTCGTCGAGACGCGTCAAATAAACTATAAGTTGACCTTGAGAAAACATTTATAAAATTTGACCCCAGGTCAAGGTCATGACCTGACCGAAAAGGGTGACATTGGTGACTGTTGGTGACCTTTCATGACCTGAGATGACCTCAGGGGCACACAGAGGGTCACAGGTGCAATTTTTCGATATAGTGTGTCATGTTTAGGTACCTATGAACCGATTTTTGAAAGGGTTTAAAACGACATTCGTCCAAAAGATGAGCATTTCAATTTTCTCCCATTGACTTATAACTAATGGAGAGGTCGCAAAATTGACCTGACCCAGACCTTACGTCACAGATATTAACCCGCGCCCGGCTGGGGGTCCTGGATTTCCACGCCCTGCTGGGGGGGGGGGGGGGTTTGAACACCCCCCCCTTGTAACTCGGCTCCTGGGCTACGTAGCGATACGCGGAAGGCGGCGTTCGAAAGAGTGTCAAAAATAATGACGAAATCACTCGGTCAATTTTTGGTCAGGTCAAAGGTCAGGTCACCAGAGGTCATTGAAGGCAAAATTTCGCCGATTTCTAGGTCGCATGTCGAAAATTTCCAAGAAGCCAACGCATAACTCGGGAACCAATAGAGCTACAGCGCCGCGGAAAAGCGCATTCGATAGCCCTATTAACGCCCTTTCTGAGTAATCCTCTCAGATTTGACCTAACGTCAACGGTTTTGCCTGCAGGGGGCAAAAACTGCAAAAATAGCCGATTTTTTTGAAAACAGTTTTTCTGCAATAACTTTTGACCCAAGCCTTGTACGAGCTTACTTTAACCGGCATCGTGTTCCTCTTGTCAAGACGCATCGAATGAACTATAACTTGACCTTGAAAGGTCAACTTGAAAATTTGACCTCAGGTCAAGGTCATGACCTGACCGGAAAGGGTCATGTTGCATATCAGTCGATCCGTATCGTCGAGCTGAACACATCTAAGGCGTTTTCATCGCTCTAGCATGCCTCTATCAAAAGTTATTTGCGAAAAACTGTTAGATACCATTCGTGACCTAAGATGACCTCAGGGCATAAACAAGGGTCACGGACACCATTTTCATGTTCAGTGTGTCTAAACCACTTGTAATTCGGTGGTTGGGAGTGTTTATAATGTCTTTCATCCAAAAGACGCGCATTTCAATTTTCTCCCATTGACTTATAATGGGGAGGTCGCAAAATCGACCTGACCTTAGGTCATCGATATCAAAATTCTGAGATATACATTTTGTACATGCTATTGCTCTTAGCAATCGCTGAAAGTTTCAAAGCGATCAGTCACTCGGTGTAGCTATGACAGACATTGAAAGTTTTTATGAGGTGAGGTCACTTCAAGTGACCTGGTGACCTGACCTTGAATGACCTTGGTCTGAAATTTTCACAACATGTGTAGAATTGATGTATGATAAGGTGTACCAAAAACGGCGGCGCTCCGCGCCGCCGTTTTTGAGATATTCGCGAAAAACCACAAGGGGGGGTGTTCAAACACCCCCCCAGCAGGGCGCGAGTTAAAAGAACAGAGATATAATTTGTCAATAAAGTGAAATCTTTCGGACTTACAGACAGCTTAAGTTAGGGTTTCCATTTTTTTTTTCGATCACCCTGTATAGCCCGCTTCTAAGCCCGCATATAGATGTGGCGGCGCCAAAACTGGCGGCGCAATAAGCGCTGAAAGAGGCGGTGGATGTGGTTATTTGAAATGTCGACTGATCGGCCGTCACCGCCGGGTGATAATCGCCCTGTGCGGGGTCGCGGCACGCCCTCATCTGTCCCCCCCCCCGACCCAATCATCTAAAGAACGGCCCTGATCGCAACCAACCACCGCACCTAGCAGATGAACAAGGCAATTCAGGGGAACAAAAACAACCGAACTGTCTTTTAGGGAAACATCTTTCGTAGTAAGTCATATGTCTACGCTTAGAGGCCATCTTTTCAGACGTTTTGAGCTTTGACTTTCGATGAGCATATGCACGAAACATGTTAATTGTTCCCGGAACAATTAGGTCCTTCATTAGCAACTCGCTGCCCATGGGCCATGCCGCCATGGCCGCTCGTTTGGACCGTTCCCCGACAGGCGACAAACCCCTGTCACCGTGTCGGGACTCGGCTGTCCCTGCCCGCGTCAGATCCATCCACACGGTTCACGGCTGGGACATGACTCTCCGTTTGTCGACCTCGACATATTCGGGTCAAAAGCCGGCCAATCTCGCCATTTTGGAGGCGATCCGGCGGCCGGCCGCTGATTGGCTGATCTCAGCCGCCGCGCCGGCCGCCGACCAATCACCAGCCAGCCGCCGCGCCGCTAGTGGCTACTTCCGTTTTCACAAACTGGCCAATTACCGTAACCGCCGGATCCGGCCGCCCTTCCTGCCCTGTCATAGCGTTCATTTTTACGGCCGGCTCGGCGCGATTGTGGACCGAGCGGGGTCCGCCCAGTGCCAGAAGGCAGTCCTGTGACCCTGGTGCCGGCGGCGGCGGTGCTGCATCACACGACTGTGACCCAGCACCGAGAGCGGGTCAGTTCACTCGTCGTCGCGTCGCCGACCGGCACACAGCTCCGCGAGCTCCGCCGAGAGAGACCAGTGCCGGTGCCGTCCCCGGGGGATGGTGGCCGCGCCCCAGTGACCAAAGGCCAAAATGAAAAGGAGAACTTTTGAGATCGCCATGGTTGAAGTAATTGCTGTGTTGAACGTCCTGAAGACGCTTAGTGATGGTGAGTACCTACCTGAAGCTTGTGTGACTGTCCACTGCAACTGGCCCGGATAATCTATGTGTAAGTGCTGATACCTGCATCTTGTTACTGTACCTATCTATCAGATATTTATCTATCAGCGTTTTGAGTAAGTGAGCTAATGCCAATATGCTCCCAAAAATGGTTAATAAATAATAGTCATCGTTAATTGACCTTCACTCGCGGCAAGGGGAGGCTGCTGCCGCCCCTTACTTATCTTTTTTTTTTGCTTTGGGTTCTAAGCGCCTGTTCATGTCGAGTTGTCAAATTGGGAGCCTTCAGCCTACCCTTTTAGTTTTAAGCATCTCTTTGGTATATTTTCTGGACGGTAAACAATTGAATACCTCAAGCACATGGATTCGAAACTTTATTGCACTCCTTGCGAGGTACCTACGGCGTTTAAATTTTGTATCGATGACCTTGCATGACGTTATGCATAACGTCACTAAGGTCATCAAAGTCTTCCGTCAATGATTCTCGAGCAAATTCAGATAGCGGGTCGGAAAAGCCCTCAGTAGACTCTGGAAGAGCTACCGAATCGAATGTTATGCTTCATATATGATCTCCTCAACACTCTAAGCTAGCCTCACCTAACCAAAAGGATATCATGCAAAGCGCTTGAGCATGACAAACGTGATGGTACTAGTTAAATTTGCGGTTCTGCGACTATTTTTAGCGAAAGCATTCACCAAAAACCGAATTCCTACGTTTCAGTGGTGCAAATGGGGCTCGCGAGTGGTCAATAATGCCAAAAAGTCAAGTTTACCAAACCGAGTAAATCGCGATACGGCCAACCAAAGAAATGTTCGGGGCATCTTGAATCACATGTTTTTCATGTTGTTGTCAAAGCCGAACTCTCGTAAAATTGTCAGATATCGTGACATTTTTAGGTCGTAAAATGGCTTTCTAGTTTCTGGTGCCTGCAATTTTACATGCTGCTAGCTTGCGTTTATTTCATACCTACAAACTGCAAAAACTGTGCATGAAAATGATCCCCAAAGTCTGCTGCTTCTCACGTTGAGTAACAAAAAAAAATCGTATCTCTTCTGGTTTGGCGGTGACTTAACTTTTTGTCTTCATGTTGCCATTCTGTATTTTTACTTAAAAAAAAATACCTCCTATCGTTTGACCTACAGCAGTTTAAACAGTGTGTGCCCGTTGGTCCACCATGCCGCAGTCTTCCCTATCACTTCTGAACCGCTGCATGAAAGAATTAAGGCGCTAGCACAGCGCTGACCGGCGCTACTTAACCCGCGCCCTGCTGGGGGTCCTGGATTTCCACGCCCTGCTGGGGGGGGGGGGTGTTTGAACACCCCCCCTTGTAACTCGGCTCCTGGGCCACGTAGCGATACGCGGAAGGCGGCGTTCGAAAGAGCGTAAAAAATAATGAGGAAATCACTTCGGTCAATTTTTTGGTCAGGTCAAAGGTCAGGTCACCAGAGGTCATTGAAGGCAAAATTTCGCCGATTTCCAGGTCGAATGTCGACAATTTCCAAGAAGCCAACGCATAACTCGGTAACCAATAGAGCTAGAGCGCCGCGGTAAAGCGCATTCGATAGCCCTATTAACGCCCTTTCTGAGTAATTCTCTCAGATTTGACCTAACGTCAACGGTTTTGCCTGCAGGGGGCAAAAACTGCAAAAATAGCCGATTTTTTCGAAAACAGTTTTTCTGCAATAACTTTTGACCCAAGCCTTGTACGAGCTTACTTTTACCGGCATCGTGTTCCTCTCGTCAAGACGCATCGAATGAACTATAACTTGACCTTGAAAGGTCAACTTGAAAATTTGACCTCAGGTCAAGGTCATGACCTGACCGGAAAGGGTCATGTTGCATATCAGTCGATCCGTATCGTCGAGCTGAACACATCTAAGGCGTTTTCATCGCTCTAGCATGCCTCTATCAAAAGTTATTTGCGAAAAACTGTTAGATACCATTCGTGACCTAAGATGACCTCAGGGCATAAACAAGGGTCACGGACACCATTTTCAAGTTCAGTGTGTCTAAACCACTTGTAATTCGGTGTTTGGGAGTGTATATAATGTCTATCATCCAAAATAGGCGCATTTCAATTTTCTCCCATTGACTTATAATGGGGAGGTCGCAAAATTGACCTGACCTTAGGTCATCGATATCAAAATTCTGAGATATACATTTTGTACATGCTATTGCTCTTAGCAATCGCTGAAAGTTTCAAAGCGATCGGTCACTCGGTGTAGCTATGACAGACATTGAAAGTTTTTATGAGGTGAGGTCACTTCAAGTGACCTGGTGACCTGACCTTGAATGACCTTGGTCTGAAATTTTCACAACATGTGTAGAATTGATGTATGATAAGGTGTACCAAAAACGGCGGCGCTCCGCGCCGCCGTTTTTGAGATATTCGCGAAAAACCACAAGGGGGGGTGTTCAAACACCCCCCCCCCAGCAGGGCGCGGGTTAAGTTTTTTATCCGGCGCGATCGGGCGTCGCGGTATATTGGGACACTTGACTCGACCTCATAGGTCACCGGTCGACCTGAGACCTTAAAATTGGATACCAGCCGCCGCGTCTCGTAACGGCGCGCACGCTCGTTTTTTCCCACGAGGTTCTAATCGTAGCTCAATTAGGCGCGAAACGGCGACGGGGTCGTATCCGCCCCCTGCTCTCTCGGCCGGGTGTAGGTATGTAGAAAATGATAGGTACGGCGATGTTTAAATCTTGCAAAGGTCTATGTATAATGCCCTTTAAAGGTGGATGCCTTGAATTGAAGATGACATCAATTATAAAGCTTCCGGCTCGAATCAAATGCCAGGTATGACAGATTTCGGCTGTCTATATAGTTCTCTCAAACGTTCCAAACTCTAATAAATCGGACGGAAGCGTTACGGTTGGCTCAGCCCTCCTTCCCTCGGCCGAGGAGAGCTTACGTGTGTATCCGTAATGCAGTATGCCAAGCAATCCTTTGAACGGTCTCGCAAAACAAATGAGTCAACACTTATTATCCTCGATTGGCATTTGAAAGTCATGTTCCGCAGGAAACTAGGCCTCTTCATAACAATGACGCACTATATATAAGCCGAATGGTGCCAAAAATATCGATAAGGTGCACGTCTTGTGTTTCTTCTCTATAAGCTACTAATATTTTTAGGTGGTTGACATTTAGGCCGATAAGCGTCACCAGGGACTTTGGGTTTGGGGGGTCGTTGATTGACCTTCCAGGTTAGGTCAATGACCCATAGTCGGGTAAATCGGGACCTGCTAGAACATCGTAAAGTGAGGTTGTTAAGGGCTTTTTCCGGGGTGTTGATCACGAATTTCATGTTAGTTTTGATCTTCATGCATGTAGGCCAGGTCGGGTTAGGTCAAGTCAGGTCAACCAATAGGCGTCCTGCCGGGTATTCATAGTAGGTGTCAACCGCCACTGACAGATTCGTAACATGTTACGAAGGATCCAAAACTGCTTCGTAAATGTTCAAATGGTTGCTACATTCGAAATCAAGTCCACAAACTACCATAGAAACATGTAAAACTCGAAAGAGTGAACCGAGCTCATCAAAGGTCAATCACCTGACCTGACCTTCACGTGACCTTGACACCCACCATAATACATTGGACCAACATCACTTCACATGTTTGAGCGTTTAAAACCACAAAAGACTGCAAACACGCGGATAATATGAGCCGACATAGCCAAATCACGGTATTGTACAAACATAGTCTCGAGAAATAAGTCACAGGTCAAACTTCATTTGACACAGTGTCATGAAATTTTTAGAATGTGTGTAAAATTGATAAACTCGAGGGCACTGAAATTTTCGTTGTGATCGGCCGCTTTTTACGATATTTATTCGCAAAAAAACGAGGGGGTCCGTTCGATCCCCCCCCCCTCATTCAGGCGAGGGCTAAGACAGCCACTGATTGTAGCGAAGTAGGCATTCCGCGGAGAGTGAATGTCGGAAGTGTGAATCGGAAGTAAGGTATTTACTATTTATCTTTGCTCCAGTGAGAGAAAGTGTTTTGTTACAATCTCCCGATATTCGTGCGTGGGGAAGCGCTGCAAAACGTGAACAAATACGGAACCAAAAATTTCGCACGGCATAACGACAAGGGATCCGTTAGAGGTGGGCTTGGGATTCTCAGACCATTGTGGGTCACTCAGGGTCAGGGTGGTCTTTCAGAAGCCTGATCCCAGAGATCTAACATATATGTGGCTTTCCGAGCTCCAGGTGGGTCCCTTAGAAGCCAGTGTGGGCGGCGTGCGCTAAGAGACCAGGGTGAGCCCTCAAATAACAGTGTGAACCCTCGGGGTCTGTGTCAAATCCAAAGGACCCTCGTTGGGACATCAGAAACATTATTTGGGACTTGGGACCCTCAAAGGCACCCGTAAGTCGTGATCACTAAGACGCCGGCTTGGGGTCAGCAAGATCTGTCGTCTCAAGAGCTCGGCTGGCTGAACTATCAGAGGCTGCAGTAAAGGTTATCCATAATTTTTCGAAGGCATCCTCAAAGATCCGTGTGTCCCTTAATGAGAGACCTACGCATAAGATCCTCAAAGATCCCCACATGGGCACTCAGAGAATATGGGCACCAGTGGGGCTCTCACAGGCCGGTTTGGAGTTCCTTAGGAGCCTGCGTGAGAAATTCATTAGCATTAGCCCTGCGGCACTTGAACGGCATTTAAACCCGTCGCAGAAATTTCCAGAGTTGGGAAAGACCCGAACTTCGAAAGAAATCTTCGGACGCCCCGAGGATTTCGCGTCACACTATGAACGAAAATTTTGTGTCAGCACTTTCACTTGTAAAAATCGGCTGTAGGTGAAATGTGATTGAGAATCAACTAGGAACATGGATTGAAACAAAGCATTGACATCTGCGAGTCTGGAGTCGGAGTCGAAGATTTTGGTGACTTCGACTCCGTCTCTTGGCAGTGGCGGCGAAACACCTTCAATTAAGGGGGGGGGGGCACTGCCGACTTTTGGTCCCATTCTTTCCATGCAACGCCCATAGGGCTAACGTTAAAATGCCAAAATCAAGGGGGGCAGTGGCACGGTGTCCCGGTGCCCTCCCCGTTCCGCCGCCCATGTCTCTGGGTAGAATCGCAGGCTCCGACCGGTTCCGACCTCACAGGCATCGTCAGAAAACTAACGACATTTTCCCCAACCCCTAAATCTCATCAGAGATCTGTATCCATCTCAAGGGGTATCCAATCGGAGGTGGGGGCAAGCTGCCCCGCCTGCCCCCTCCCCCGTGGCGACGCTAATGGGTTGAGCACTAATAGGTTTGTAGTCATGCGTGGCCAGTAAGTAAACGAAGCGAAACATTGGTCGTTTTTACGACGGCTATCTGGTACACATTAAGTGCAGATATGATACAGATTGGGTACAGATTTGACTCAAATTTGGTCAATTTAGGTTAATTGTGCTTCTTAGAAGCTTGCAGCTTTGGTTGCACAGATGCCTATATGCCTGATTTTTTTTAAAGTTATTAGACATTATCAGCCATAAATTGGGTCAATCGCGTTTCTTAAAGTTATTAGCTTGGGTTGCACAGTTGCTTGTACCTATGCCTGATTTTTTTTTTTGATTTTTTAAATTATCAGGCATTATTTTCGATTAAAGCACTGTCATGCTATGAAGATATTTGTTGAAAAAGAGATTTAGTGCAGCTTTCGTCAAGTTTGGTGCATTGGCCAGATAACCCATCGTGAAAAAGGCTAGGTATTGACTTATCATAACATCGAGCCTGCGGACAGGTGTGCTCTTGTCCTGACATACCTAAGATGCATTACTGAAAAGGTACCTACTGAAAAAAATTATAGATTGTTAGTTACTTGTTTCAGTTTCCTAAAGAAAAAGCCGGCTTTAACGTCTTCGAAGAACGCATGCATGCACTATGCAGAGACTTTATCTTGCCCACATGGGCCAATAGAAGAGAAAATTATATCAGTGCTGTTATAGCCAATTAAGCAGCAGAAAATCCCGTGATCCGTATCCGGCTTGGAACTCTGGTTTTCCACGCCCCGGGGATAGCAACTCCACCCCCTAGGTTCCAAGGCCACACAGCAACAAACGGCAGACCGTTAAAACCATCGTAACAATAATTTTGAATGTAACGTGGAATTTTTGAGGCCACAAGGAAAGGATCACTTCGCTTACCATTTGTCAATGTTCGATCGAGGTCAGATTATCTTGGTTTGCCTTTTTCTTAGCAACAGCCAAGATTCTTACAGATAGCAACAGCAGACTCAGCAGGCAGCTCGACAGAAGTGGGACAGATCTCTATTAATCGCTTTTTTTCTTTGCTTAATTATGCCCCCTAAACAATATTTCACCTGAGCGATTAGAAATGTTCTGGAATATTATTAAGGTCTTTGCTTAAATCCATCCAATAGTAAAAACAGGTAAAAACACTTATAATGGACGTTTTGCTCAATAAACGGTTAACAAAATTGCAGTTACCTTTAGCGCACCAAATATACATATGTATCATTCCAGTACCCCGATGCCTCGGTACCTACCACTCGACCGGAAAAGGAATCCGCTCAGTAGTGACGCATACCAGTAAGTTTTGTGCGGAAATGTGTGATTTTTTATCGGCTGGCTGCAAATGTCTCACTTTTTCTGCAGTCATATACTCCCAGCCATCCGCTCTTTAGAATCGGTAATAAAAACGCATCATTATGTCCATTAGCTTGCAAACAGCTTAATCTTATCTTCACTAATTATCACCAGCAATGACCAGCTAATGGGCAGCCATGCAAGTATGTGCTATGTCGGCTGGCCTTGGCACGGCTACCGACTGGCGGTTGAGTCAACTTGGCGGCCGGAACTCAGCTCTTAATTACCTACCCGATCATCAGCAAATCATCTGTCAGGACCAAACGTCATGACCAGTAAATGAGTCACTACCTTGGATCCTCCCTTGATTCCTTTGCTTTTACTCGCCACCGTACGGCGCCTGGTGATACGGTTTCGATCAGATTCTCTCATCACACCGTCGGGCCGGGCTGGGATTACTGTCAGTGACCTGGTGCGCGGCGCGGCGGGCGGGGCGGCGCCGGCGGCCGACCGCTCCCCCAGGGCGTGTCCCGCGGCGGCCGGAAGTGACCGGCGGCACATCCGGCCGGCGGCCGGCTAACGGGGCCGCTCCCGCCGCTCCCGCCGCCCCGCCCCGGCCCGGCCCGGCCCCGCGCTCCCACCCCATAATCGGACACAGACACCGCAGTGACAACCGGACAAAGAGCCGCCCTGAAACGGTCCCCAGCGGCATCGGGAGCTAACACGTGGCTCGGAATTTACATAAATTCGCTGAATTCCGAGCAATGAAGAGAAATGGTGACTCCAATGGATAAAACCACTTTAGGTTCAAATGAATATTCATAATCACTGCCCGCTTACTAGGAATATGTGCAAACCACAGCCCCATTGAAATTTAAACGGCTTTAGCTCTCGCTCCGATTGAATGTTCCGGCTCAGACTCTGCAGATAATTATATCATTATAAGCAGTCCGCCTTCGGGAAATATTGCAGCGCAGTAGCCGGATCCGTGCGGGAAATGTGCCAGGTGCGGCAACACACCCGTGCTGCTAACACGACAGTCATGCCCTTTCTCCCTTTTACTAACGACTTCTCCTTTTTTCCAGCTGCTGCACCTGAGATGAGCAACTGTAACAACGGAAATGGACAGCTGGTGTTTGAACGTGTGCCCGGATATCACCTGGAAGGATATGACCGAGACTATGTGAGTACGACGTGTCCGGATACCGACAGGAAGCCAAGACGCCGCTCATATGATCAACTTCTCACTCAAGTAGTTTTGTCCCTATACATAAAACGACATGGTCTCAGGTCTCTCATATCATGCCACCCTTTCACTTTATAGATAGGTATGCGAAAGGATGGTTATGTAATGAGCATTTTCTCATTTTGAACTATCGCAATATGGTAATCGCTGCATAACTCGAAGTGCGTGACTCAGTTGAGTGTTACCACGACGTTATATTTAATGTCGATAAAATCCGAAAATCGACGTCCGCTGATCTCACGTTCTGTCCGGCAGCTCACAAAGGAAGAGCAGCCCCTCACCCTGCTGGAGCAGTGTCAGACGTCGTGCATCGCCGGAAAGAGCGTCAAAGACAACCTGATACGACCATGCGGCTCCATCGACTACAGCCCAGGTCAGTCGGAAGCCCTTCTCTGCAGATGTTGGGAAATGGAACGACTTGTTCAGCGATGCCAAACTTCTTCGTTCAACCAGAACAATACCATAAATGATCGTTATCTTACATTTATCTCTAAAATTCAAATGTTTGCTCTCACAGGTGCACCATACGGAGACGGCAAGTACGACCCGTCGGCATGCTATCTCACCGAGGAAAAGGCCAAGCCGGACGGCATTGGTAACCTCCTGCAAAAGACCGGCAACATCCATCTCAACAAGATCTGCATGCCAGGTGAGTGCTTACTGCAGTAGCCAGCAGAATCACGGGTGGCTAGGAGGTTGCAATCTGTAGCCGTTTACCTCAAAACAGCCGTAAATACCGTACGGTGACGCTGACTGTGAGAGCGGACGGGCTGGTCTCTCGGGTTCTGAGTTCTTCTGGTGCTCGTCCACACGCCGGCTGAACTGACCACCACTGACCGGGCGCCGTTGTCCACAGCGGAAGCGGTACAGCAACACTGTCCGGGAAGGATGTACGTCTTCGAGCGGCTCATCAACAAGAGCTTCAGGCCGAAGAACAATAACTGCATCGAGAGCCAAGTCGAAAATCGGCTGGAGTGTGAGCGGAGGTAAGCAGTGGAGAACGAATAACGCTTACATGATACCAATTATTTGACTTAACTCGATCAGGTTATATAAAAGAAATACCCTTTTATCCAAGAAATGATAGGCACTCCGCCTACTCGCCGAAGTCCCTTGGACAGAAAGTAGCTATGAATGCCTTTATAAAAGTGAGACTTTCCCGGTGACTCACTTGGTCCCTCGGCTGCCGTCCAGGTGCCTCGAATCCAGCGAGGTGTGTCGCTCGGCCTCTTACAACTCCAAGAACCGCACGTGCTACATGTGCCCCATCACCTGGCGCTCGGCTCCGAACCTGTTCGTCGAACAGCGCGACGAGGAGTACATCGAGAACCTCTGTCTCGAGAGTGAGTACCATGCAGCGAGAATCTTTGTCTTGAGTGGGTCTTTGTCTCGATGCATCGAGAGTCTTTGTCTCGATAGTGAATATGCATTAGGGTGGCCATTTTTTTGCAAAGTACACGGAATCACCGCTCCTAGCCTCGATTCTGATGCATTTTTTCATGCTGATTCCGAATCCGTCGAGAAAAATGAAAAATTCGTAAAAAATTTGACCCCTGGACGTCCTAGTTTTTGGATAAAGTGAAAATATCGACATCTCACTGTCTAATCGAAAGTTGCGTTGTGTTTAGACTAAAAAGTTTATATGAACGTGAAATATGGTCTGTTGGCGTCACAATGCCGCTAAAACCAGCAATATTACTCATTTGGTTTAGCAACAGCGTTCAATAATATCGGCACCCTTTGGGGCAATCTGCCTCTGATGGCGAGTATCGAACTAATAGTGATACACGTCTGCCTGTAGGTGGCAGCACTGTTCCCCAACCTTTGATTCTTTGATAGGTCATTGTGATATCATTAACACGTTTTATCATCATGTTTTCCTTGCCAAAAGATACAATAACCATTAATCTGATTGTCTGAAAGAAATTTCAAGCATCAGTGTGTCATTTTCCTTACCTAAACAATGTCTAAAATAAGGCTTTTCTAACCAAAAGCAAACAATCTGGGTGAAACGGCAATGCCCCAGCAATGTAAGCAACGATTACACAAGGAATCGTTTATGACAGGCTTATTTCGTTTAGTGTCATGCAGGGGTGAGGGGATGCACCTATAGATGTTCGGCGAGCCCCACCGGCAAGTGGTCGTAAAACCCTGTGACCTGACTTCAGCCCAGCTGCCGCCCCGCAGTGATGTGTTTGGAAGATTATGCAAGCTCAACTCTCAAGCTAGAGGCGATGGCGTCGTGCCTCACCTCACTGATATGTATCACGTACCAATAAAGCCCATCATTAAACATGTCTCCGATGAAGTTAATGTATGGTTACGCGCTTCCTTGCCTGTCTGGACTCTGGAGGGTGTGAAACTGCCGTCCGCGGCGCCGCGGAGACCGTGTCGCTGCAGACACTGACCTCATGAGAACAGCGGCCCAAGTCGGAGACGGCCTTGCTGGCTGTTTTTCAGCGGACCCGACCTGTCGCCTAACTATACCGGATTCACTGCCAGCCACAATGAGCGAATTCCCGCAGAGGAAGTGTAAATGTAGCGAGGCAGAAGGCCCACTGGAGGGTGTCTCACTCTGCCGAGCAGCGGCACAGAGCAGAGGAGCAGCGCTGCCGGTTTTTCGCCTGTCCTTTCCAGTATCCCGCTGTTGCCTAGCTACTGGCCGATGTGCTAATGCCTGGCACCGAGCTGATCTGCGAGGAAGGACAAATCCTCGGGATGTTCCGGTAACTAATTCCGGTGCGCTGTCAAACAGCGAGCTTGTCCCTTCAGATTGTGCAGTTGTTAGAGTCTGACGCTTTAGCGATCTTGCCTATTGTTCGACAGTTCATGATTTTGGCCACCATTGAGTCAATGCGCTGGGCAGGCAAGTAAGTGCATAACCATAATACTTCACCGGTGACCTGTTAAATGATGGGGTTTATTGGTCCGTCGGACACATCAGTGCCGCACAACGCCATCGGCTCTAGTCTACGATTGCATAATCTTCCAACGACATCACTGCGGGCCGGCAGCTGCCCAGCTAACAATTTGCCGTTGTTACAACGTCGTTTAAACGTTGTCAAATGGTTACCACAACGTCCCGATTTATTGTTGTGACAACGTAATTTTGTAGACTCCAGACAACGGCGTGACAACGTCATCCGACCATGCATTTGAATGTCATCACAACGTTTCTGTAACGTGGCCGTGACGTCCCAAAACTGTTCTTACAACGTCCCGCCAACGTTATGAAATGTTTCCTGTAACGTACCAACAGTGTTTCTGGAACGTTGTCACCACGTTTCCGCAACGTGACTACAAGGAGTATAGAACGCTTTGGCAACGTCTCTGCGACGTTTTTATCACGTGCGCACCACGCTGTCGCTACTTCGTATTGCCGTCCCTGCGACCCCGAGTAAACGTCCTAAACATTTTCGCAACGCCCTCTCAACGTGTTCGCAACATACTCAGAATGTGTTTCCGACGCTCTCTTCCCGTTCTCTAGACTTGTAAAAAAAAGGCATGTAAGAAGTGTATATTTCAATACATCACACAGGTCAATTTACAAAAAAAAAAAACGACGGCGGCGGCATCGGTGATGGGGCATGGGGCCCAGGGGTGCCCCCATGGGGGCGTGGGACGGAATTGGGTTCTACCGGCTCTGGCGCTAGCCGCTAGCACGCCAGAACTGGTGGAAGTTCACTTCTTCACTAACCCTCGCTGGGAGGATGAGGATCAATCGGCGGACCGTTAGGCACCGGCTCATTTGCGGCCTCGATGTCCCTAGGCAGCTGGCAGTGCTTGACTAGACGGTCTGCGCACCCCCGTTCCGGTCGCAGCTTCCAGACAGCCACTTCGCTACTGCATTGCCGACAGTAGGCCTGCCACGAGGCGCGCTGACGAGTTGCAGGACGTCTGCGGGAAGACATGAGGGAAAATCAGACATTCAATTCATGAAAAAATCACAAAAATACCTGCATCACTTTCCGTAACAGTGCGACAGGCTAGATCAAACATGTCAACACCTTAGAGGCTAGAGCTACAATGAACTATAGCCTAGACCGCACGATATTACAAGGCACAATCTTGCAAATGCTACTCGTAAATGGTACTTTGACTTACCAGTCAAAGCAACAATCGCATCAAACGCAGACAACTGGCGCTATCTTTCATCTTCCAGCTATCTCAGCCGCGCCCGCCTCCGGCCCCCACTGCTCGCTCGCGCCGCGTAGACTGCGGCTCGGCCGGCTGGCTCTGAACGCCGGCCGGTGACACTGACGTCACGGCCCCTCAGGCGAGGTCAGGGCGCGAGCCACCGTTCGCCTGAGTGGCGGCCCGCGTGGCTTGCTGGCAGCCGCGGATAACAGCCGCGTTTACATAGGGATAGTTGCAAGCCTCTAACTCCGCCTGTGATGTTGCAAAACATGCCAATGACGCTTTGCAATTTACACATGTTATATATATATATATATATATATATATATATATATATATATATATATATATATATATATATATATATATATTAGAGAGATAGAGAGAGAAAGGTATCAGAATTTACTTATAAAAACACCGCTAATTATTCAGTACCTATAATGTCAAGGTTGTGAAAAACCGTGTTAAAGGTAGTGTGCCACCTTTGAAAGATTTCCCATTTTATTTTTCCTAGGATAAGAAGCTTCTGTTTTTACCTAATATCGCAAAAAAAAAATCAAAAATGGGCCTGGAATAGTGCCTTTTTCGCCTAAAAGTTTATCGGTTTTTAGATATGTATAACAACTATAGTGGGCTCACCTGCAAACAGGCGTCGGGCAACAATCGCGAATGCGGCGCACTTGTGACAATAAGCAAAGGTCATTATAGTGTTACGACCATACGACGTACGGGAATGAGTTATCAGCTGTCTAATCGTAGACAACACAATGTCGAGCCTTAAACTGTAAGCCCGTATTGGTATTGTTTCTTTTATTTGGCTGTCGAACATTATTTATGGTTTGAAATATGATTTTATGTAAAATAATTGATATGAAAAAGCCGTCTTATAAGTTATGACCCCATTTCACCACACGCAAGTGGCAGAAATGACAATGATCAGCTGACGCATTTTTCTTGGCCGGAGTCAGAGCGCGCAGCCCGACGCACCACCACCGCACCACAAAGTATGAGCAGAAGCCGCGCCCAAAGCCAGGGCCCCGGTAACGTGAGGTAGCCGAGTCGGGGCAGCGTGCGCTGACCCAAGCCGGGGCCGCAGCTTTGGGCGCGGTCTACCGCATCCCCGCGGGCAGCCCCGGGCTATCACATGACACCGGGAGGACGCGCGGCTGCGGCTTGGGTCAGCGCACGCTGCCCTGACTCGTTACATTGACTCGGCTACCTCACGTTACCGGGGCCCTGGCTTTGGGCGTGGTCTACCGCACCACCTAACAGGCGTGTTCGAAACCGCAGGAGCTGATGATGAACGGGTTTATCGAAACTTGATTGGATGAGCATATCGGTAATAGCGGTTTCAGTGTGTGCATTTATTGTTCATAGTGGTGTGAAATGTGGTTGGGGTACGACCGACAACCCGTCGGGGCGAATTTCGCACTGGGGTACTCAAAATTTGAAGAATTTAAGACGTTTCCATGAGTTTTGAAGGTATGGATAAGTTCTAAAAATCCGGTTCTCCTTATCTGGGCCATTAACTCCATACGGTCCAAGAAAGCTGGCACACTACCTTTAACAACGTGTTGGCGACCACCAGCTGACAACGTGAACAGTCCAAGTGTTAAAATATGTCAAATTTAACGATGAAAACTGAATATACGCATTGTAAGTCAAAGGAAATGCATTATATGGCCATATATGTCACCATGCATTATCAAAAAATAATGCTGCAAGTGCGCGGTTGCTGCAACGTACCAATAAAACGTTGTCACGACGTTTTACCACGACTTTCGGACCAAACCATGGCTTCACAACGTTCAGAACGTTGCTACAACGTAATTAAAACGTAATTTCGCAACTTACCGAAACACGACGTTGTGACAACGTTGTAGTAACGTTTCCTGTTAGCTGGGTGGGTTTAATCAAGTCATAGGGTCTTACGACCCAACCAAATGCCGGTGGGGCTCGCTGAGCTTCTAGGTGCATCCCGTCCCGTGTATGCTACTGAACGAAATTAACCTGTCGTACACGATTCCTCGTGTAATCGTGTTTACCCTGGCCTATTACCGTTTCATTCACATTGTTTGCTTTTACCTTATTTTACCTCATTTTAAACATTATTTAGGAAAGGAAAATGACACACTGATGCTTGAAATTTCTTTCAGACAATCAGATTAATGATTATTGTATCTTTTGGCAAGGAAAACATGATGATAAAACGTGTTAATGATATCACAATGACCTATCAAAGAATCAAAGGTTGGAGAACAGTGCTGCCACCTACAGGCAGACGTGTATCACTATTAGTTCGATACTCGCCATCAGAGGCAGATTGCCCCAAAGGGTGCCGATATTATTGAACGCTTTTGCTAAACCAAATGAGTAATATTGCTGGTTTTAGCGGCATTGTGACGCCAACAGACCATATTTCACGTTCATATAAACTTTTTAGTCTAAACACAACGCAACTTTCGATTAGACAGTGAGACGTCGATATTTTCACTTTATCCAAAAACTTCAAGGACGTCCAGGGGTCAAATTTTTTACGAATTTTTCATTTTTCTCGACGGATTCGGAATCAGCATGAAAAAATGCATCAGAATCGAGGCTAGGAGCGGTGATTCCGTGTACTTTGCAAAAAAATGGCCACCCTAATATGCATCGATAAACTGTGTCTCGAGTGAACATTCACGTCACATAACCCATTTCAGTCGCTGGACGTCATAACTTCATGCAATCGCAAAAGGAAAAGCTATCCTCTCTCGATACGTTGTTGGAAAGTCCTTGCTGGGAGAAACCGAACTGTAAACATCTCCCTTCACCAATTATCCCAGCAATACGCCGCTAAACGTCTACACGTCTGAAGGCAGCTCTGTCCGTTTCAGAGAGCCGCCGGTGTCAGCAGCCTGACCATCTCGTCTTTGTCGAGGAGGCCAGACGCTCCCTGTACACCTCCAACAAACCTTACAGAAAGCGGGAGGTCACCCGCAGCGAGTGCAAGAGCATGTGCGCTGAGCACGCACAGTAAGTGGCTCAGAATATGATACTGCAGCGTTCGATAGTGTGATCGGCATTCGTCCACGAGCATGATCATTTGGTATCTTGTTTGCTCTGTTTGCAAAGACGGTCATTTAGGATACCTAATCATCAAATAAGACGACAATAATTTCGATACATTTGTTTCTCAATGCTGTGACATATTTGAACGGTTAGGTCGTTAGTTATGATTGACATGGTAGTCATTAGCAAAGACTGCGTCGCCACTGACCCGATGCCGCTGACCCTCAGGATCTTCTGTCGCGCGGCGGAGTTCAAACTGACCAACAACGCCACTGGTACTGGCGACTGCTACCTGCTGGAGGACGACAGCCTCAGCGTGTCACCGGAGCTGCGAGGCAACGACGGACGCGACGACACCGACCTCATGGAGCTCATGTGCCTCGACCACGGTCAGTAGTGAGACAAAGCAGCTATAGATGTTACACACAGATCGGAGCTAAACGAGGTAGAGATGACGGGCTGACCTCATGGAAGTTACGTGTCTCGATTTCGAACACGGTTAGTTGCATAACACAAAACAGCCAAAGTTATTACATTACAAACGTGATTTACATGCATTCATGATTCAACGATGCGTAAGAAGAGTTGCTTGTGAGGCGGCACTTAGTTATAAGTCTAGACAAATATTTACATACGCCTTCAGAGGATGATAGTTCGTTCATTTTGTAATGCGCATGCTTTGAGGTTTGATTCGCCTATTCTCTGTTCCTATTCAGCCCGCCATATGGACAATGAAGGTATGTCTGAATTCCATTCATTGGCCGCCGTTTGGAGGCGGCATTGCTGGTTTATGGTTAGATAAAAACCATTTGAGTATGTCTTGTTACAACCAGTACATGACTGATGTGTTTATCCGTTTTCAGTCGATGGCTTGTGTTTCTTCTCACACTGCAGTGATGGGGAAGGAGTAGTCTGACCGTAGGTTTATCTTATCAGCCACTGACCTGTATTTTTCACTCCTCAGTGATCGGTCAAGAGCAGTCGGACCGCACCGGAGCCGGTCGGAACGAGGGCGGTCCTCTGTCTCCCGGCGGTCAACAGCCGTCCTCCGGACAGGACATGTTCACAAGGTGCGACACGACACTACCAGATACGTCATAGCGGCATTTAAATACTTCATCGGGCCTAATGGACTAGTCTTACAGGCTCCAAAAGAGGAGACATATATCTAATCATCGTTCCGTCGGTTGAAGCAGGAGTGACGCCGATTTATTTCACTCTGTTTTATTATTATTTCTTCCGGCTAGGGCATGTTTAATTCCTCATTCTCCATCAAAGGACCCCGATGTGCATCTTTCCACGTTCGGCCGATTCTGGCTTGTGACTCGGGTGCGCTCGTCGCTCCTCCGCTCTCAGGGAGGGTCTCTACCGCGAGTCGGACCGCGAGTACGTCACTGCCTTCCGGCGCTATAGCCGTAACCGGCTCGAGGGACCCAATCCCATCTACAGCTACCAGCAGTACTCTGCCCGGCTCTGCATGCTGGCGTGTCTCCAGACACCCGGGTAGGTGGCCGACACGCACTGATGAGGGACCGGTTAGTTTTTATCAGTTGTGGGAATGGATATTTAGGAATATGTACATAAGTAAATACAGTGGAGTTATAGGATCGCTGTCAATGTAAAAAAAAACTTTGGAGATGGCTAAGTGGAGAAGTAAAGTAATCTTGGCCAAGCGATGCTGGCTCTCGGCGATACTTAAAACGGTTGAGCTACCAGCGAGTGACCGGGGCTTTTGCGGCGCAGATGTCAGTCGATGGTCTTCAGCAAGCGGTTCGGTCTGTGCGAGATGTACAACACCAAGGACGGTGGCGGCAACGGACGTGCCAGGCTCGTCTTCCACGAGGACTACGACTACTACGATAACCTGCTCGGAGGTATGTTTGACAGCTCGCACTCTGATCGGTTATTTGCTCGTATCTAGCGAAGTGAATGGGTGCTGATCGTAGCGTATGTCAATTTCATTGTACGTAAATACGCAGACCATTTTGTGAACGCACCACTTGTAGCACTTTCACGATTTTGTCTCTCTTTTGCAGATACCCCCTTCAACGGCCGTGGAGGTCGGTTTGGCGGCGGCGGCGGTGGCGGATTTGGCTTCTTTGCCGACGGCCGCGGCCGTGGGGACGATTTCCGTGGCGGCGGAGGCCGCGACCAATTCCTCGGCGGCGGCGGCGGCGGTCGCGACCAGTTCCTGGGCGGCGGACGGGGCGGCCCCGGCCGCGACCGGTTCATCGGAGGCGGCTCATTTGAGAGCAACTACCGCGGCGGCGGCGGCGGCTTTTACGAGTCCAGAGGTACCTTTGGCGGGGGCGGAGGCCCCTTCTCGGGCGGCTCTGGCCAGTCGGGGCGCGGTGGCGGGTGGCGCGGTGGAGGCGGCGGCGGTGCCCCTCCCGCCGGCGCCGGTGGCGGGCCGCTGGGAAGCAACACCGTTCCGATTGAGGCACCGCCACCCAAGCCGACTGTCGTGTTGGTCAATGAGGGCGGTGAGGACCCCAGGGCTGACGACCTGCCGCCGGTCGGCGGCGGCGGCGGCGGCGGCTCCTGGAGCGGTGATGGCGGCTCGCGGGGCGGTGGCGGTGGATCGTGGAGCGGTGGCGGTGGATCGTGGAGCGGTGGCGGCGGATCCTGGAGCAGCGGAGACAGCTCACGCCCCGGTGGGCCGACAGGCGGCTGGGCAGCCGGCGGCGGAGGCGGCGGCGGCGTCTTCCGACCGGACGGCTCTCGGCGCTCGAACGTGATCCGCGAGGGCGGCGGCTGGGACGACTCTTGGAGCGACGGCCGGCGCGGCGGCCGCCCAGGTGCGCACCGGTTCTCTGTTTCTCGGGCAGGTGACGGCGGTGGCTCGGAGACGGCCGACGCTGCCGCCTTGGAGTCGGACGGGGCAGCACTGCAGCGCAACGACAGCGACACGCACCGGCCGCCGGCCGACCGACAGCTAGGTACACGCTGGATGCGGGCTGCGCATGCCGAGGGCGCCACAGAGCAGAGCCCTCAACTGGTAGTCGGCAGCACGCGAGACGAGCCGGTGGCTGGCGCCAACGACGGACGGTAGCTCGAACAGACTGCTCCAACCCCCGGCCGGACGAATCCGAGCATGCCCGGCTGATGGCCCTCCTCTGCAACAAACTGCGGCAGTTTGGTCGCCCGAAAGACGATGTTTTTACTTATCTAACGTGCTCTTCATACGAGGATAAAAAACATTGACCTGATGGAAATTAAAGTGCCAATTGGCTTGAGACGTTTCCTCGTTCGTGTAATCTTAAGATGAATATGTGACGTTCACAACATATTGAATTACTCATGGCCTCATTTTCACCCTGAAACAATTACAATGAGCTTTTTAAAGCGTTTCAATATTTGTTTAGTCTTTTTTTTTTTTGCTGCAAGTCATTCGAAATTTAAGAACTTCTTATATTGAAATTATATCACTTTATTTTTCGGTACGTAACATATATAGCATCTAGATGACTTAGTAATAATTTGCCACCTTCATTGTTGAAAGTTACCGAACAGCTCATCGCAAAATTGATTAGAAATAAATTGCCTTGCATAGAATGAATTTTCCATTTAAGGATTATTCATCATTTGGATATCTACGAGTATACATATTTTGTCAAAAAAAGAACTGACGACGTAGCATGAGATCTGAGTAGTGTTGGACTCTAATGAATGCCACCTGATCGACTTTTGCATGTTCCGCTTGTAGGAAATAGTTCACTTTTAACATTGAATTGGGGATTTAAACGACTTAAGAATCATGTACCTATGTAGATTAAATTAAAAACAGGTGGTCGGTAACTCGAAGGAGTACATAACTATCCCGCAGTTCGGACCCAACCATAACTTAATCAGGGAATATGCCTATTCGTCTTTTAGATTAAAAATTGAGTAAAGATATCATATTTGCATGACTCCATACCTACTACGTAACTAAAGCCATGGACCAGTGCACTTGAAAAAGCAGTCTAAACGTCAATCTCGGAAAGCTTTGCAACCTCGTGTATTTTAAATGGGCAGTCGTATTCCTCTTATTGCAATTGATTGATAACTCTCTTCTTAGTAAGTTGAGCCGTTCTCCTTGCGATCAATTGTCCAGCAGTTATGGCATGTAACAGACAACTGGAAATATCAACTAATCGCACGTAGATATCTCAGACCACAGAAACACAATGTAAGCTACCCAACATGTGTCACTACTTCAGGTCTTCACGTATTTGATCTTTTATTATCTAAAAAATGTCAAACTTTTATTCATGATGTTGTACTGAACACTATAATATTTCCCATTGAATCTTGGTTCGATTCCCATCTCCGTGGACATGTTTAAAGTGAACTATTTCCTGCAGAACTAATTTTGAGTCTTATTGATTCAAAACGTCTTCTGTCTTCTTGGTTATAGTTTGTGCATGTGGGCTTCTTGCAACGCTTTCTTACACACATGCATTTTTTAAAACTTTCGTGTAAGCTCGTATACAATGTTCTACATTTCTAACTTGATTACTAACATTCACTTATCATCATCATGCGCCTCATAGTTTTTTAAACATCGCAAACAGACTGAGAAAGTGGGAAAATACGGTCCTACTACGCCGGGTGCACTTTGTATCCCGTCGCAGTCACCGTTCATTCAATTGTCTTCCCTCCGAATGTCTTATTCACGCTCTTCGCTCATTGTCGAATCATCCAGTTGCAACTGGATGATTATCATATCACAAGACGACGATTATCATACACAAATAATAGATTCATTAAATTAAATACATAAATAATAGATTCAACATAGACGATTATCATATCACAAAACGACGCATATCACAAGACAACTAGTCGTCTTGTGATATGCGTCGTTTTGTTGTGCTATCTTTATTCCCTCGCTTACCTAACCAGATGTAAATAATGAATTTCTTACAAACGTTATTCGATGACCGGTGTTTCCCGTCCGTTGTTATTTTCGTTGGGGTGACGCATTCCCAAAATTTCTATCAGTTGACTCTGGGCACTGGACAGCCTAGTTAACGTAGTTATTCTTGATATCTTCAAATACCTATACATGTGAAACTACATAATAACTATTTCACCGTCTTATTTGAAATGAGCATGAATCATATTGCTACGACGCACATCGCACAACGCACGATTTTCGATGTTTATGACCGTATTCCATGATTCCGTTCAAATAAGTGATTCATTTATTTCATATCGACTTATGGTTAATCATGTGTCATGAACTTTTTATAATCAACGTTATTTGAATCGATGTGAACTGTTTCTGATTGCACCGTGTCATTTATTTCGTCGTTTCCGCAACCTGCGTGAGTCTTGATAACTAATGTTTGTGCATTTGATTTGTACGTCCCAATGAATTGTTGTTTTACAAAAAAAAAATGCAGCAGCATCGCTTTCACGCAGCTTTTCCTCGGCAAACAATTTCAGCTTTACGCATGTTGCTTTACGAACACTTTTACCTTCTTTAATGTCTGACCGGGTACCGCTGTGTTCCGGCCGTGCTTCAGGTGGTCCCGGCGGACGGGACCAGTTCATCGGCGGGGACAACCGCGACGGTCCTTACGACGACCGACGGGGCAGCTTCGGAGGCAGCGGCCGCTTCGGCGGCGGCGGCGGCGGCTGGAGCGACGGCGGCAGATGGGGCGGCGGCGGCGGCAGCTGGAGCAGCGGAGGCAGCAGCTGGAGCAGCGGCAGCGGCCGCTGGGGCGGCGGCGGCAGCTGGAGCAGCGGCGGCGGCCGCTGGGGAGACGATGGCCCGGGCGGCGGCAGCGGCGGCCGCGCACGAAACTGCTACGAAGACCGTTTTACGCTGAAGGAGACAGGCCGCAGAATGCGCTCCAGCTTTGTCGACAAGACTCTGCCGGTGTCGTCTCTGAGCGACTGTGAACGAGCGTGCACAGATAACCTGGGCTTCATCTGCAAGGCCTTCTCCTACCGGTACAGGTGAGAACGGATACGGCTTTCCCCAGTCTTTCATCGACTCGAACTCGGCAACTAGCGGCACATTTTGCCGTTTTGACGTGTAAGTTGTCTCTGCATGCATGAAAATTAACCGTGGACACTGGACAGCCCGCTGACAGTTTTGTATCCGACAGCACCTCCAGTCTGGCGTCCGGCAGCGCGTCTAACGACAACTGTGAGCTCTCCGCCGGCGACATGAGCCGCTCCAGCTCCGCTGACATCTACGAGCTCGACCGCGACTACGACTACTACGAACGTGTCCGCGTGGAGGACTGCGAGGAGCTGCCGCCCGGTCCCGACCGTCCTCGGCCGGGCTTCGGCGGCGGCAGCGGCGGAGGCGCAGGGTTCGGAGGACCCGACGGAGGGTTCGGAGGAGGCGGCGGATTCGGAAGCGGTGGTGGATTTGGATCGGGAGGCGGCTTCGGAAGTGACGGCGGCTTCGTCGGCGGAGGCGGAGGCTTCTCCGAGCAGGGCTTCGTTAGCACCGAGGGAGGAGACGGTGAGTGCTGGAGAGGTGCTCGGGTATAAAATGGCGGAGAACAATTATTTGTTTATCTTGATATAAAATGATTGATAACTATTAAGATTCATAAAGCACAGCCTGATTCAGTGCCGTCCTATTGACTTCCGACATTGAGAGTGACGCTGACAGGACCGGTGTGTCGAAGACGGTGACGGTAACTGTGACTGACGACCTCTGCACTGTGACAGTGACGCTAACTGTGTGTCTGTCTCTCTACAGTGACGGCCACCTGTAACGAGCGCGGTATGCGGCTGCAGCTGCTCTCTCGCCGGCCGTTCTACGGACGGATGTACACGTACCGCCACTACGACTCGTGCAGCGTGCTGGGCCGCGGCAGCCGCGACCTCTCGCTCTTCATCCCGGCGCACGGCTGTGGCACACAGATGGTGAGCTGGAAATCGGAAAATTATCGAAACGAACTTAGGCCCGATAGCGTAAAGGAATGTCATACAAAACCTGATAAGCTGACGAAGAAATATCCCATACGTGGAAAATATGTTTCCATACACGGTGACGATGAAAAGTTCGGTATTATTCGCATCACACACATTTCAGTACCTTCTCATTTCACGGCGGCCTAGATACTCAAAGCACTGTTTATCGTCTGTTGAATAGATTCCTAGTTACATATATGCCATTATTCCATCCTCTGCGCACGCTGACCACTCCGTGTGGACGTTTCTCCAGTTCCGGGACGGCGATACCATGCAAAACATCGTGGTCGTACAGTTCAGCGATATCGTGCAGACCAACTTCGACAAGCGCTACAACCTGACCTGCTACTTCCAAGGACCTGGCGAGGCCGTGGTCACTTCTGGCTACGTGTCAGCTAGGTGAGTGAGTTGAAGAGTGAGAGTGAGTAGGTGGTGAATGAATGAATAAGTGTGTGAATGAATGAATGAATGAATGAATGAATGAATGAATGAATGAATGAATGAATGAATGAATGAATGAATGAATGAATGAATGAATGAATGAGTCATGGCCCATGGGTGATTTAGCCATGAGTGAGTGGGTGAGCCGTTCAATATTCATACCTGAACGCACAGTAGCCCAAACCGCATCTGGGCCTGCTGACCTCTGAGACCCGTTGCTACCCCTGCCACCTGCAGCCCCGGCCAGGTGACGCCCATTATCGACCTGCCGGCTCGCGAGGTGGTGGACTCGCGGGTGCGTCTCTCGATCCTGTACCAGGGCCGGCCGACCACCACCATTGCTGTCGGCGACCCGCTCACCTTCCGCCTGGAGACGCAGTCCGGAGCGAACCTGCGCACCGACATCTATGCCACCAACGTGATCGCACGCGACCCGTACTCGGGCCGCGCCGTGGAGCTCATCGACAGCTACGGGTGCGTACAGCAAGAAGAGCAGCGAATTCATGCATGCACACTCTGCAGTAAAACGGTTGAATGTGTCGGTTTTGAACATGAGATGCATTATCCGTTTGCGTAGGCTACAGCTGGAGCTTGGAGTCGGTTTTTGAGTCGAGTGTATTCATCGCTGAACATCTTTATCGACAGATGCCCGACCGACCCGCTGCTCTTCCCGTCTCTGGGCCTGGCTCGAGACGGAAACGGACTGGAAGCCCGCTTCAGCGCCTTCAAGATCCCCGAGTCCAACTACCTAATGTTCTACGCCACTGTGCGCACGTGCCGCCGGCCCGGCTGTCAGCCGGTGGGTACTGCATGTAACCCTGGGGATGCCTCAGTCGGACAATTCGTCTCAGTCGTACAGTTTGCCTCAGACAGCCTCCAGTGTGACAAATTTTGCCTCAACGGTAAAGCTACAGCGGCTTTTTTTCCGGCAGTGACAGGGACTGTATCTGTGACGGATTGTGTTCTATATGAAAGTGACGGAACATTTCACAGTCACTTTACCTGTGCCTGCGAATACACCAGTACTGACCGGTCGACCTAATTGCAGGCCACCTGCGCGGTGAACGGTCGCGAGGAGCCGTCGTTCGGCCGCCGCCGGCGCCGCTCGGTGCCCGAGGAAGCCGCTGAGCCCACCCCGGAGCCCGTGCTGCCCGACCCCAACCAGCTACCCGTGGAGCCGCAGGACGAGGACCTCGGCGACCCGGAGGATGAGGGAGAGAACGTCAAGCAGCTGCTCAGCGTAAGTGCCGTCGGCTTCTCATCTACCGGATCGAATCGTTAGGTACGATACTGACGTTCTTGAGCTCAGATATGAACTACTTGCTTTTGCCTTTTTAATCACATTCTCCCTGCATTCTGGGCTTGTGACAATCGCCCTAGCTGCTACCGGGCTATGTGACAGTTACCGTCTAACCACGGGCGCCTGCTGCCCCCTACAGGTGTACTACAGCCGTGACGAGGTTGAGGCCGAGGAGGCCAAGGCCATCGAGAGCGTGTGCATCTCGTCGGCCGAGTACCACGGCCTGCTGGCCACCCTGGTGGTGCTGATGGTGGTGATGGTGCTGGCCGCCCTGCTGGCCGGACTCTGGTGCCGCCGCAGCCGGCTCATCGCCTACAAGAATCACGAGGCCGACATGGCGTCACCTCTTCCGCGCGGCTTCTCCGCCGCAGGGGTGGCCAAGAATACCTTTTCGTTCCTGCACGGAAAATCGTGAGTGCATAATGCACATTCATACACCTGATTTCACAGCGGATAATAACATTCCTTGCACTGACTAATAATTATACCGCTCCAGACGTTAAAGGTTTTTGGGAATGCCAAAAGTTGTCCGCCGGGCTGCTGCGATCTTTCCGTAAGATAAATGAAGCAGTTGCCGATATCACCATTGTTTTACTTCTATTTATTTTAAGCGAAAATTTTGGTCGATATTTTACGCCTACATTTCTAAGAAAAAAAAAAACTCATATAAAAAGTCCATGATAAATGACCGCCTTTTGCATTTTAAAATTTACGTGTGCCCCTTTATGCAGGTCGTCGGCGATGGGTCGCAGTTTCCCGGCCCAGGGCAGCGCCAACCCGGCCTATGAGGTGGACTGTCCGCCGGCGCCGCGTGCTCGTCGTTTCGACGACCCCAGCGAGCCCATCTACACGGATCCGTCGCTGTTCGAGCACGCGCACACCGCGCCGACCGCCGAGCCGTCCTCGAGCCGGCAGTAGCAGCGCCCGGCCGGCCGGACCGGGCCGGGCGCGCGGCGGCACGGACCGTAACCGTTCTCCGGTGACCGAGTGAAACCGGAGACGGCCGCCGCCGCTGACTGCGCCGCAGTTTTGTACTTTTGCTATTTAGAGATGCCGTGTGCTTATTTCACCGGGAGAGCTGCGTCAGTGCGGTCGGACGCGGCAGCTCCCTGTGATCGTGATTGGATGGCGGACCTCGGCGTGATGTGACGCCCCCGCCGTCCTCATTGACGCCGTGAATGATGTGCTGATGGAGGAGTGCGCTCGCGCGTCCTAACGGCGCTGGACGCGGTGTCCTGGCCTGTATGTTCCCCCACTGGCCAGACCACCGGCTGGCAGGATGCCGCGCTCACCGCCGTTACCTGCGCTACTGCTTTGTAAGTGACGTGTATCGCCCTAGGTTATTGAGGAAATGACGCCTGCTTCATCTAAAAATAAACACCTCACTCCACATCAATGGGTATTTCGCCTGGTTGCTACTTGGTACACGTATAAGGAGTCATGACTTAAGAAAAAAAATGTAAATGCAATATGCCCTCAAAAGACGTATTTTTAGGTATACGCCTTAGCTCAGAATGACTGGTCGAGGGTCGAGGATGAATTGAAAGAAAGCCCAAAGGATCCAAGCATCGATGGGGATTTCTAAAAGCCTGTATTTAGCACCAAGAAAATTGTGTTCCGAACGATCGAGTGGGTGTTCGTACTTCGTGGGCACCGCCGTGTCAGCTTAGCACCAAGCGGGCGTCTGGTGCTGCTAATGATACCAGCGACCCATCGCCTGGCCTTGCCAGTGCCTACCCATTGTTGTTTTTAAAGGAAGTGTCGAGAAAAATTAACTGTCTGCGCGTAAACGTACCTACTCCCTAATATAATAGGACTTCTTATTCGAAATTCCGATAAGAACACCGAAACCTTAAAAAGTAGTTTTATATCGTTGCATAGATAACATGAGTCATGTTGCTTTTATGATCGTTGGTATCGCCAAATTTACGATCAAAAGACAAATAGTATGATGTAATTGTATTTGGAATTACATAATACACAATTTCCCACTAGCTTCCATAGCACAATAAAATACAAAAAAGAAAATGGGCAAACGGAACGATCGATCAGCTACGCGGGTATGAGGTATGGAAGTACCGACTTAACACCACCGAGTCATCCGTATACCTATTTGCGATCCTTGGAATACCGTGGGGATAGGAGACACCATTGGGCCACTATACTGGGTCACCAGTCACCACGGGGTCAACACTGGGCCAGAAGGCCTTCCACTGGGTCTAGTGGGTCACTAATGCTTTGCCTTAGGTCAGCTGTCAGATGGCACTACGATGAATTAGACGGGGCACCACAGTGTATCCCGGATCACCAATAAGTAAGTTTTTTAGCCCTTTCTGTCTAATGAGACGATTTTAGGGAGTCGGGATAGGTAATCACTGAGAGAAATTTTGACTCCCTTTAGGAGAGTTATCGAGAGTTACCAAAAACGACTCCCTAAAACTCCAGGCAGCTACTCCCCTTTACTCTCCCTCATAACTCTCACTGGAACTCTTCATCACTCTCATCCATTACCCTTCATAACACTCTCGACCCATCACTACTCCCCTCTACTACTCCCCCTAGAACTCTTCATTACTCCACATTACTCCCCCCACGTAACTCCCGTTAACTCCTCATTACTCTCCCACGGAACTCTCGCGTGAACTCCCCATTACTTTCTCACGGAACTCTCCCGTGAACTCCCCATTACTCCCCAGCGTAACTGCCCATTTATAGGCTAGTCGTTTTCACGACGGGCTTTCTGGCGAATACACCAAAGTTGCCCAAATCTGCACCCAATTTCTGTTTCAACAATATCTAATATCTTATAGGCCTATTATGAATTTATCTTAGTTTCTTTTTCGAAAGTAATGTCAATTAGGTAGGTACTTAGAAAAATCAGTTATATAAAAAACTGTGCAGCCCAAACGGATAACTTCTAAGAAATACAATGAGCTTAATTTGACCAAGTCTGCACCAAATTTGCACCTAATGTGAACTAAATGCGTACCAGATAGCCGTCGTAACTCGTAAAAACGGTTGATAAGATTTAGAGACGTCCAGCTACCCATTGGTTTTGGCGCCCAACATTCATGGTGCGCTTTAGCGGCTGAGCCCGTCTCAAGAGATACTAGCCACGCAGCAGATACCTACTATGTATGTACTCACCTCGCGGGCGACAAGATTATCCAGCCCGAAACAGAGAGCTCAGGTTTGAAGAAAAGGATTTGTGTATCATGGGCACAGCATGGCTAAGAGGGAACGGGGAGGGTCACAGCTGGCCCAACTTTGGGCTAGGGGAGCACCGTGTCACTAGACAGGCGAGTGGTTGCCAGGATCACCTTACTCTAAGGTCCCGGACTCGAAGACGCTGTCGTTTTCGCCAAACCTGTCATGCTGTCGCTGAACGCTGCCTGAAAAGTGAAACCCGATTGCGGTCTGGTCGGCCAAGTCGATCGAAGTCTTCCGGGCGACATTGCGGGGAGTCTAACGGTTCATGTCGCCGGCGGAGAGCTCTGCACAGTTGTCTGCAGACGCGCTGCCGACGCCAGACTGGAGGTGCTGTCGGGCAGAACAGCAGACAGTAGACGCACCCGGCACCACAGTAGATTTCTACGCGTGCGGAAATACTTATTTCATGTCATTTTCCTTTTCATTTCATTTCATTTCATCTGTTTCATGCCAATGGATTCACATGCCATGGTTGAACAAAAAGTTAAAAATAGTAATGATACACATAACACACACTAATGTTTTTATATGACGGATCATAACCGTGCTTTATACGATAATGCAATAAAATGTGTCGGTACCTACTCGCCTAGATTGAATTCTTGACAACCTGGGATCTAGCTAGGTACCGTGGATGCTGCGTCCGGGGGTTCACCTGTACCTACCGGTGGGAGAATGCCTTGCAGATGAAACCCAGGATGTCTGTGCACGCCCGCGTATTCGTCTCGATCGGCCGATGATTTAGGGCCAATGGGCCGGGGGTTTGGGTTGCTACTTGCTGAGTAATAGGTAACTAATAACTTGCCTTTAAGCGAAAACGCCTGACCCTTCGAGGTCACCGACATAGGCGGCGGAACGAGGGGGCACCGGGGCACCGTGCCCCCTTTGATTTGTGCAGCCCTATGGGCGTTGCATGGAAAGAATGGGACAAAAAGTCAGCAGTGCCCCCCCCCCCCCCCTCTTCCCCTGTGAAGGTGTTCCGCCGCCACTGGTCACCGAGGTCACCCGAGGTCACCGACTCACCACATTCAAAAATGTGGCCAAATCGCCAATATAATTAACAGTGCTATCTAAGACTTTAGTTCTGATGAGCCAGATGGTTCATATAGGCCGTTTTCACGACGGAACTTTCGCAGAGGAACTTATTTGATACCTAAAAAGTACCTACCCTTAGAGGCCTTAACATCCCTCAAACTGAAATATTTTATGTTCAAAATAATTTTAGAAGTTTAAATCTGGGCATTTTTTGCCCTCAAATCACTTGTTTATTTACAAACACAGCAATTTTTGGTTCTAGTAGCCCACCTTTCGACTATGAGGTATTAAATCAGCGTGGCAACTTGCTCCCTCTTTGCTCCCTCGGGTATCTAATTCCGGAATTCTTAAAAACAAGGAAAGTATATATCGAGTTCTCTTTTATACCTATTCAGTTATGTTTTAATGGTGATTAAAATATGACAAATTTTTTAATTACATTTCATATAAGAAAACACGCAAAACAATGAAACAAAAATAACTACGGCAGATAATTACCTTCAGGTATCTAATTCCGACCAATCAGCACCTCAGTAGGATATGACGTCATACAAGAATGGTGGTGAAGGCCGTTTGCAGTCCCGGCCGGTAGGTCACGTGACCGCCGGGCGCCTCGGGTCAGGGAGGCACCGGTTCGTCACGTGACTCGGGAACAAAAATCAGCTGATAGAGTGGCGGAATTTCGACACTGCGACACGGATCATCTCGGGCGTCAGAGTGGCAGTACTACCGATATTCTGAGACAGACAAATATTACTATAAATCACAGTTGAATTAGAATTCAATTCAATAATTCAATTCAAATTCAAAGCAGGAAGGTTTGTAATTTCTTCAAAAGATGCTGCCGATACCGAAACAAGCCAATCAGACTCAGCTTATGATGCCGGTCGTGTAGGTACCTACCTACCATAATCTGATAGGAACTTTTATGACCAATCAATGCTGATTTTATAGCAAAGTTCCGAAAATATAGCATTGTATGGCGGAAATTACGGTGCCGGAGTACAAATTCATTCATTTCATGTGTTTCAGCTCGTGTTATAACGACCAGGAGCGGGGCTTCCTGTGGTTTGTGGGGCGCCCCACCAACTTGTCATTTTGCTACACCAAGTTAAGCTGATTTGCAAGACTTATTTGCTTTGCAAATCAATACTTAAGACATATCTGCCGACGCGAAGAGCCGATTCCATCCACACTGCCAACCTCTCTCCCAATTATCATTTATTAGTGCATCGAGAGTAATAAGCAAGACATCATCGATCATCAACGACAGAGTTGGCCTACGTTACGTTATTTTGAAGTTTTCGGTAACCCGTAGCTGTCAGTACCGTTTCGTAGCGTAATTGGGATGTTTCGGTAGCGTAGTACGGAAAATAACAGAATAACGTAGGAACTACGAAATGGATTCCGTAGCAATTACAGGTCAGCTGTATTTGTATAAAGTACATAATTTTTCAGTTTACTCATATCGTCACCAGACCTCCGGCCGTTTACACGGATGTGAGACGCCTGCTATATGAATACCACTGAGTCTTTCTTCGGCCGGACCGACACCGGGGATTTCCCACTGTGGAGTCCCACGGAATTCCCTGTCGGAAGTCCAGCGTATCTAGCGAGTAGCGCGTAGGCACCGCCGCACCGACGATGCTGCAAAGCCGGCGATCATTGTGCGCAGTATTTGGCTTACTAGAGACTAACCGTTTCCACTGGGTAGTGGATGATGACATATTGCATAACGTAGTACGATAAAATAATTTGCTGCGTTAATTAACAAATACCGCAATTCAGTAACGTAGCAATATATAACGTATCGTAATTCGGTATCGTAGTTTTGGCCAAAAAAGCAAACGTAGCGTAACGTAGTGCGTAACGTAGCGTCAACTCTGATCAACGATAAGCAAGGCATCATCGTCAAATAATACATATAGCACAAATTGCAGGGCTAAATCCGGGGGCGTCCGTTAATACATATAGCACAAATTGCGGGCAAGCCGTGGGCGTCCGTAACGACTAACCCCAGATCAGCCACCACTGTTGGGAAGGACGGGGGCGGGAGGACGGTCCAGTCTGGTCACGTGCCGGCGTATTCCTCACTGTTTGGGTGACTCACACTCCACAACGCTCGATTTCCAAAATAAGATCTGATCACCA